GGCTTCTAGACTGGCAAACTTGACTCTGCCTCTGATTTTTTTTTAAATATATATTTTTTAGTTGTAGACAGACATAATATATTTATTTATCTATATATTTATTTATTTGTATGTGGTGCTGAGGATCAAACCCAGTGCCTCACATGTGCCAGGCAAGCACTCTACTACTGATTTACAACCCCAGCCCTCTGATTCTTTTTAATTGTTTACTGAGCTTCGACATACTTGTTTCTAGATGAAGCCTTACTAATGGCCATACAGTTACTTGGAGGAAAGATAAGAGTATATATACAAAGAGCCCCCATTCCTTGAGRGTTTGCTATAACCCAGGCACTGGGCAAAAGGTTTCATGTAACATTCTCATGTACACTGATTACAAGTGTTGATTACTTGGACAGAGTAGGTACTCACCGAATATTTCTCAAATGAATGAGAACTGGAATTGAGCTGGCAGCAGGGCTCTGTCTGCTGAGTCAGCTGCCCTGAGTCAGTGGTTGAGACACACACAACATGGGTCTCTAGAGAGGGAAGATACTGACTGGGCTGCAGTTCCCACCTATCTGGCAGAAAGACTGCAAGGACACGATTCCTAAGCATGATGGAGAGCTCACAGGGAGGGGAGAGTATAATTTATGAATGATATGACTTCCTTTCCCACTGTCTCTCATTACCCCCCTCACCCCCCCTGCTGACCAATTCAGTCCAGAAGAAGTACAGATCTCATTCTGAGTCACTCTTGTGTTGTATTGGTAGCACTACATCTTTATTAAATCTCATGGAATATAATAATTTTGTAGATCTAAATTCTTGGCAAAACAAACAAACAAACAAAAAACAAAAATCAAAACAAAACAACCCCCCCCCCAAAAAAAAAAGGGGTGGGGTGGAATCCAACCAACCAGAACACTGTACTTATTTACTGGTAAATGTTTTCAGAATGTTAAAAGTTCATGAAAGCCTCGCTTAAATAAAATGCCATTACTACCCCTAGGCTTATGTAAATTAAGAGAATTTTGGGGATCTCCAGGTTGATGACTCATAATTTTCCCAGTGTTTTAATCCAGGAGTCACTGATTAAAGTAGGGTGTTGCTCTATATTTTGTCTCTTCCAACTATGCTATCCCAAGTGGGAAATTTGGGAAGCTTCTTGAAATCCCTAAGATACCATTTCTTGCATCAAAATCATTGTATTTGAAATTATATTTAGAGGATGTTGGAAAGGATTATTTTGTTTTTTAGCATCTATCCAGGCTTGTCTTGTTCCTGGGGATCAGTTGAACAGCACAAGAATCTGATGAATAGAATTTCCCATGATGCATCAAAGGGTCAATGTTCCCATCTTGCTCTGCTCCTAAAGGCTGGAGTTAATGAGGAGGAGTTTTTATGTGAATGTCAGGCATGTTGCAATAACTAGCCACAATGGAATAGTCATGGCAATTTCCACCACTTGGTTTCTTTGTTTTGTGATGTTGCTGCATGCTTCATTTTATGAGTATTTTCTTATGTGTGGTTGAACCCATCAATTGCCATCTTGGGTTTGGGTATTTGTATTTAAAAGATGAAGATCAGAGGGAGAAATTGGAAAGTTGACAGAATGACATATCACAAATACTTATTAGTTTATTTTCTTCCTTCTACTTCTGCTGACAGATATTCTGATGATTAATATTCTGATGAGTTTGTGTCCTAAGGGAAGGGAAAAGAGAATCATAATAAGACATATGAAAAAGTATTACAAAAACTGGACTTCTTTGGAGGATGTTACTATTGTAGATTAAAACCAAGTCTAGTAATATTCCTGCTGCAATAAGGTATATGAAAATTGCTAACAATCTTTTTGGTTTGGCTTTCTTGGGTAACTAATTTGTGTCCTTGAGGGCTGCTACCTTGAGCATAGCATCTACTACTTGAATGCTAACCTATATTTAAACCAGAGAAGAACAGACTCTTAAGGACTGGTGGAATTCTAAAAGTGTCTGTGGCCTCTTCATTCATTTAATTCACAAGTTTGAATAATGCTCTCACTACAGAAAGGCCTAGATGGAAGACGATACTGCGTGCAATACACACTGTGGATTCCTAAGATAGAAGTCTTTGTGTCTGTGACAATACATGTGGGGATCCACTAAAAGCAGGCCTTCTGAGGACAACCTGTTGATTAAGCCTAATAAAAAGGCTGGAGATGGGGGTCACAGTTTAGGCATGCTATGAAGCTGAAGACGTAGAAAATCTAAGGAGAAAGCTACCACTGCACAGATGCACCACTATACAGATGCAAGCCTGTGTTCTGTTTGATCCTCTTGCCACATTTCCATCATACTCCTCTCTTCCTTGTCTTATACTTTGAAAAGATACCACAGACCTCTTTTCTGCCTCACCCATTCAATTCTGAAATTGTCATGTGCACCCAATCACATTTATTTTGCTATTTTTCACTTTTTAGCTTCTACTCTATTTTATTACTGACTATATATTTCTCTTGTTCGTTGTGATTTGATATCAAATCACTTTTTGTTGTTGTTGTTAGAAAAAGTGCAACAAATAAGGCCAGGAAGAAGGCAAGTGTCTTCATGCTGTTCTGAAGTTCTTGGACTCGCTGGCGCAAGGGAAAAAGATAGAGACTGAGGAAGGAGAAAGAGAGAGACAGAGAAAGGAGAGAGAAGAGAGGAGAGGAGAGGAGAGGAGAGGAGAGGAGAGGAGAGGAGAGGAGAGGAGAGGAGAGGAGAGGAGAGAGAGAAAAGCGTCTAAAGGGAGACACAAGCTCGGCCTTCGAATTGGCCAGCCTGGTGACCAGCAAGCCCGCCCCCCGTCCCACCCCCTCCCCCTCTGGCGCTCACACTCAGGAAGCAGCTGGCTACAGGCCGGCCCTCACAGCCGCACACATCCACAATCCTCGCCCAGCAGCCTCCCTCCCTCCCTCTTCCCCTCTCCCTGCAGTCGCGTCCGCAGTGCGCCTCCCGGGCAGCCCAGAGCGCGGCGCGCACGGGCACCAGCACCCGAACTGCCACCGCCGCCCCTCCCAGCACCCCGAGTACGCGGCGGGCGGTCCTCCAGGCTCGCACCGTGGCTCCCCCGACACGACCCGCCGGCATCAATAGCCAGCATCCCGGGTCTGGCCCCTACCCTCACATCCCCTGGCCCAGGGGGAGGATGAGCAGGACAGGCGAAGCACAAAGTCTCAACTCAACTTTTTAAAAACATTATTTGCGTGTGTATGCGTGTAGCAGGGAGAATGAGCTGATGCCGAGGGTCCAGCCACCCGCCTTCTGCCTTCTCCTCCCCCTACCGCCACTGCCCTCTCAGACGCGCGCGCACACACGGCACTTGGGCCGGGTTTCAGCGCTCCGTCCCCTGGCTTGGATGGGAGTTTTCATTTCCGAAGGAGGCAGAACCCGTGCAGCGCGTTGAAGGGCTGGAGCCCCAAGTTACTTCTCGCCAGCGCTGGCCTCCTGCTGTCATTCGCGCCAGCTGGCCGGGGGAAGGGACCCGCACGCCGAGCTTTGTTGTGGAAATCCTGGTTACCTGGTAAGTGGATGCCATAGGAACTTTGTTCGCTGGTGAGAGACTAGGAGAAACAAGGCGCTAGAGAATGTGGGGGAGTGAAAGCTCAGAGACGCAAACTAGGGATTAGAAATAGTTTTCCACGCTGAGCCGGTGGCATTCGCGCGGGTTTAAGGATACGCGCACCCCACCCCCCAGATTTGTAGGTCTTTTAGGGATCTACACCTACTGAGACTGCTAGTAACACTCAATTAGGAATCAAACTGTGTTCTTTCAGTTAGTTGCCTAAGAGCCSAGTGTAGAAGACAGGAAATCCACAAGGTGTTAAAGTTTCGCTAATTAGGAAGAGTTTTTGTGTTTTCTGTTAAACTCCAAGTTCTAGAGGGCTACAAAATAAGGGCAAGTTACAGGACGCACGGGAACTGTGCACGCCACCCTGTCCCCATTGAAGGGAAACTTTGGCGAAGTGAGAATTGATGGGGTGACGTGAGGTCTTTCGCGCACACACCGGGCTGTGGTTGCCTTTTCAAGTTCCACGTGCTTGTGGAGCTCCACGAAGGTTGTTTTCCAACTTGTGCATCACCCAAGTGTGTGTCCCCATTGTTTCGGGAGGTCCTCGGTTTGGGGGTACATGTACTAGTCGCTGGGACCCGTCCAGCTACCCGCAGCCTCCAGGTCTGTAACTATAACCTCCCACGCTGCAAAAGCGCAGACACATTCAGACACGAACACTCCCCGCCGGGTTCGTCACCTTGCGTTTACATTTTTATGGGACCGGACAAAATGTCAGCTCTGTTTGGAAAATGTCTCAGTCCCGAGGACTTTGTCCTGCACACAACTGCAGTCCCTATAAATGACCCTGTGTGTATTTTGAAGTCGGCCGGGCCGCTCTCTGGAAAGCGTGAGTGAGCCGGCAGGGTTCTGTCCTAGACACACACCTTGCCCGGAGCGACAATTCCAAGTTACTCACTGGAGCTGACAAGTCACCTCGGGGACAAGGAAGTCACCCAAGTGTCTGGAAATCTTGGCCCCTGTGGATTTGTCATCCAATGGATGATTCAATTAGGTACCCGGGGGGGAAAAACTTTGGGGAAAGCTTTTTCTGGTTCCGTAAGTCGAGCCCTTAGGCTCCTTAGAGGTGTTTGGGAGTCGAGAAGCGAAAGGACACCCCAGGATGGGCGCACTTGCACGGCGGGGGAGGGTGGCGCTCGACGCTGGCTTGCGGGATGTGTGCTCCTGAGTGCGGCGAGCCCGGCAGTGGCTCCTGCAGTTCCCKGCTCTGGCCGGGCCGGGCAGTGCGAAGGTACCCACCGCTCGGGTTTCCTAGCTGGCAGCCCGCGGCGGAGCCCTTTCAGTCCCCGACTTACTCGGGACTGGGTTGCACAACAGGAAGCCGGCACGAGTTTGTTTTGTTTTGCTGCGTTCGCTCGCTCGCCGACGCWGCCGAGGGTAGGGGCGGAGGCGGCGGGGGAGTGACAGGGTCGCGGCAAAGCGCGCCCCAGAGGCCTCGCGCCTCCGCCTCCCGACCCGCCCCTCRCTCCGCGCCAGGGAACCCAGGGGCTTGGGCCTAGGACCCTGACCCGCCAAGCTACAGGGGTAAGGAACCAAGGAGGGCTGCCCTTCTGTCTGGCTCCACGCAGCTCTCCACTATCCCTCTGGCCCCCAGCACCTAAACCTGTCTTCCCTGCTCGGTGTGCCTCGCCCTCCCTGCCAGGCTTCCTTGGCATCAGCTTGCCCCCATTTCTGGAACACTTAAATCCGGGCACAGGGTAAGGGGGTTACTTCCGGAGTCGCAATGAGCAGAGTCCTTAAGGATTGAACTTCTGCAATTATGGCCCCCTTTTACCGAGAGAAGGGCTCTACACCCTCTCCCCAATTCCCTAGGGCCATCTTTTAACGGAACATCAGCAACTACTAAGAGTTGGGGCCCCAGGGCCCTAGAGTTGGTGAGCAGAGGGAAGTTCTGCAGCTCCCCCCAGTGGACCAATTCCCCTGAGGTTACAGGACCTGGAATCTCAAGTCCTAGACTGTTAAAGCTAGAGGGGGAACTTAGTGATCACCTACTGAAGAGGAAAGCTAGACTCAGAACTTTAGAGGTTTTGCCAAAGACCTCGTTGCCATTCGTCCCAGGACAAACATGTAAGGTTCCCAGTTCCCAGTTCAGAGAACATTTCTTGGCCTGAAGGTGAACTCAAGACAAATGCAAAGTCTCTTCTGTCCCCTCTGAAAGCTTTGATGAGTCATGATTTCTGCCTTGGGAAGTAGCCAGACGTCCCTCTGTGTGTCTCCTTCCCTGCTGAATCTCCCCTTAAAAACTAAACTGGGGAACAATTTCTTTTATTTTTGGTACAAAATTTATTTGTGTTGATTTAAATCTTCCTTTTCCTCCTTTTCTCCTCCAAGTTTGCTTCCAGTGAGGCACCTGTGTAAAGCAGGTGTGACATGCAAAAGTTTGCAGAAAAACAATGAAGGCGGTTCCTGGAAACTCTGAAGCCATCTAGAGACAGAGTATGTGGTATTATATATTATTTTTTTGCAGTTGAGAACATGCTGAAGTTTTAAGATTATCCTTTAATGTACTATGGTTTTAATATATTTTCACTAGTTGTCTGTTCAGCCAGACCAGCCCCAACTTTACCTGTGAAAGGAAGGGCAGGGACATTTCTTTTCCATTATTTCTAAAACATTCTTCCTTACCAGTAATTTGTTAATTTATTTCCTTTCTTGCTGCAAGGATTCAGCCCTTCTTGAGTATGAATATTTACTTCCAGCTGCTGCTGTGATAACTCCATTTCTCCTTGGTTTACTATAGGCTGTTTTAGGAGAGCATATTTTTTTCTGATTCCACCCAAATTTCTTAATAGTAGTCAGGTTAACAGAGATTGACTATCTAGGGTTGTTGGTTTGCTTGGGACGAAGTGATCACTATCCAAGTAGGAAACAACTTCTTTTTCTCTTTGGATGGATTCCAGGTCTACCTAGTGGATGAAATTCCTACTGGGCCAAAATATTTGGGGTGGGAGAGGTTAAATAAAATCAAATTCATGTTTTGTATCAGCCCTGCTTTCGTTCTATGGCTGAGAGTAGTCTTTCCATGGTTTCAGAAGAGAGCTCAGTGTTCTTTTTTTCCTTTGTGTTTTTTTTCCTGCTAGTAAATTAAGCCTGAGGTCATTCTTTCTAGCTGTGCCTCTCTTATTGTAGTTATTGATCTTTGGAGTTGGAATGTTAATTTGCAATTCTCCCAGATGACAGAGGGAGTACTTTTGAAGGAGATAATTCAGGAAACAGCATCCTATGCACATTCTCATCCCTGGAGAAGTCATTTCCTGTGTTTCTGTAATTATTTTCTGTAGAGGATGTTATATTGTAAATAAGGTGGAACTACAAGGCTTTACTCTTTAACTCTTTATGTTTGGTTAGTTTATAGACTCAATATGTATTGGAGAAGAAGAAAGGGCATGTAGGAAGTTTGCTTAGTAAAACAAGCACTGTTATTCATTTAGGATGAGTCATAGCAAAATCTTTAAAATGACATTAACAGGTAGTTGAATTAAAAGATGCCCAAGTTCCAGGTGTTCTTAGTGTCCCACTTTCTTTAGACAGAATTGACACAAAAGTCAGGTTTTTTTTTAATTGAAAGAAAATATCTGTTCAGGAGAATTCACCTACCTTAAGCTTAACAATTTTTCACAAACTGAGTACACCTGTGTAACTAGTATGTGGATCAAGAAACAGCATTACCAACACACCAGAAATATTCTCATATGCCATTCCAGTTGCTGTCTTCCTCTAAGATAACCACTGCTCTCACTTCTAACACGTCTGTGTCCTGTTTGTTTGTTTTTTAATCTATGTAAATGGAATAATCCATTATGAACTCTTGGGTCTGACTTCTTTCACTTGACAGAAACTTTTAGTAGGTCAAATAATTGGAACTCCCCTTGAGAGATGATGGAACAGTTGGACTTGCAGAAATAAGTTGGTCAGGCACTACTTAATATAATAGAATTAAGGAAAACACTAATGAAACAAGCTGTATTTTAAATACTGACAGCCTGGTTACAGAATCTGAACAAATACTAGTGACTTGTCTGGTGAGACCCCAGGCCTGTATATATGAGCAGGAAAACACTGAGGAGTTCCTTCTACCTCAGCAATCCAGAAGTAGTCCGTACTGCTTATAATTTGAATATCATAGATATTATTTTAAAATTTAAAATGGTATTGCCAGTTATTTCACTTTATATATTCAGGCATTTTCTAGGTGAGGGCCATCAACCCCACAGTAAAAGAAGCCTGAGCTCAGTAGTGAACTATTTGTTTTGTATCTTTTAGCTAAGATTTTTCATTATTCACCAATATGCCAAGATAAAGGCAAGAATGATGTGCCTATCCAAAAAGGTATATTGTAAGATTTCTCTTTCTTTCTGGGGATTGAACCCAGGGTCTCATGTATGTTAGGCAAGTACTCTACCACTGAGCCACAACACCAGCCCCATGTCATAGGATTTCTATGCTTCTTTTCCTATTAGAGAAAGGAATAGGTGAGGAATAGACTGAGAAACATGCAGCTGTAATTAAACTGGGTCTATAAGCCACAAAGCATGAGGTTCATGATTGTATGGTCACATCTCATTTATATTGCATTTATTTAGGCAATAAATAATAAATATAGGTTATAATTGTTCAATTCATATCATATTTCTGTGTAGATGAGCAGTACAATATTAATAATATGGATACGATAAACATGTAAATGTAGTATTAAAAGACATGTTAAAAGTAGTCTGAAAACATAAATATATAGATATAGTATAAAACAATCTATGTAAATGTAAGAGCTTGGAAGAGTTCAAAGATAAATTAGAATAACTTCAAATATTAATGAAATTAGAATTTAGACAGAGAGATGTAACATAGGCAAATAACTATAATGCAATGTAGAGAGGTATGAATGTTAAAAGAGAGGTTTATAAAGTAAAATACTTAACATTTATTGGGTCATTTTATGTCTCATGCATTCTGCTAAGCAAGTGACATGCATTTTCTCATTTACTATTCTCTAATATTACAACCTATTCATAGAAGTGTAATTATCCCTATTTTACCTAAGATCAGAGATGTGGAGACTAAGAAAGTATCAGCGAGGGTTTCAGAGTGTATTTGGAGGGTGAACAGGATCTGGTGTTTGGGAAAAAGAGAACAAAAAGGAGAAAGGAGGGGAAAGACTATTGGGGTAGACTCTAAATAAGGATCCACATATTCCACTTTGGGAACAAAATCAGAGATTTGTCTCTAAAGCTTGAAATCATGAAGGCTCTTCATAAATCAGGGTGGACTTGAGATGAAGAAAGCTATTGGGGCTGTTCTTGTCTGACATGATCTTTTCTAAGCTAAGAACATAAAGGCTGCAAATTCCTTTTGGGGGCAACAAGCCCTGCTGAACTACAGATGGGCAGATAGGATCATGGTGCAAGATCTGACCTTGTCCTAGGCTCCTTAATAGAGAGATCAGACTTTCTGAATATCAGTTGTTTATGCAGTTCTGAGCCAGATCTGTGAAGTTTCATTTCTAGGCCTACTGAATATTGTACACAGAGAGCCAACCAGATGCCAGGGCTGTGTATGAATTTTGTTATTCTTCTGTGTGAAGAAACGTATTAATGTTTTCCCAACCTTTACAGCATGACCAATAGATTCCACTTCTGTCTGTAACTTGGCTGAGTCATTCACAGAGGTTTAAAAAAACTTTTTTTAATAAATATGTTGTCATGTTGGTTAAAAGCCTAGTCATTGTTGTGGACATTCATACTTCTACACTGATGTCAGTGCACATAATTTAACTTGTATAAAACTTCTGTCTACCAACAGCTAAAAATAGTTACATTGGTTGTCTTTAAGCAATAAATACACTGAAGGAAAGATATCACTCAGTTACATGTGTGATAGGAATGCTTTAATATGCTTGAATATTTAGTTTAGGGAATGATTAGTTTTATTTTTACAATCTTCCATAGGTAGATGTTTTTACCCTTTTGAAAGGATTGTGATTTTTAGCTGTGAAAATAGCTATTTATGTGGACTCAATAGTAGGTTACACAGAACAAATGACAAAGAATGCTCTTTTTATTTTGCCATATTTTACTACCTGTGTACATCTTTGTGTGAGGATTTTCTTTTTAAAGAAAAATTCTCCAGCTAGTTATTTTGCTTTTATATTTTTGAAGAAGCCTTTGTGTTGGAAACCATGGCCATGTGGTACTCACTCTCTGCAATTCAGGTAATTAATTCAGTGGTGACATCATAGGGAATGTGTTCATTTTTCCATTTCAAATATTTCATCTCAGGATCTGATGGTTAACTCATATTAAGAACACATTTTGAAAAACTCAGTCCTCAAATACAGTTATGTGTTAATTTAAACTTTTTTTCTCTTTTGCATTTTAAGAACAGGGTTTTATACAGGGGAGAGGGGTCATCTACTCTCTGCAGTGAGAAAGATCTAAAACTGCTATTCATTTTGATGTTGATTTTATTAGCCTGTCAATCAATTATTACTTATTGAACACAGTTCACAGTTGATATTTATCAAGAGGCACAATGACAGCAATGGTAGAAATGTGGCTTTGTATTATTTAATTTTTATATCTTATAAAGCTAAAAGGTAAAACTTTTAGATCTTTCCCTCAATACATCCCTATTTTGATATTTATTTTTTGACAATTGTTCAACTCATTCTATGCCTGAAACTGTTCTTTCTAGCTATTTGTGTAGGCAACGAGTTCAAATGCTTTTATAACAGTGGCTATTATTCTGTTTTGACTGTGGCCCACCATAAAATGCAAATTTTATCGTAACCCAGAGCACACTGTCTGCATACAGATATGAAGACATGTATACTCATAAACAACTGAAATAAAACAATACTTGACCATTAATATACATTGGATATATTATGTTAACTTATGTTTTATTCTAGTTGGTTCCATTTCATTAAAAAATGCTTTCCCTGTTGAATAATTGATTCGTGGACCACCAATGGATTGCAATCCAGTTTGAAAAACACTGCTGCAGAGAGAGCACTTTGTTAAAAGATTGGTCTAGGAGGTTAGAATGTAGTCATACCTAGACAGGGCCAAGGTGTTGTTACCTTTCTGAATTTATTTTTTTAGCCTAAAAATCTTTTTGAACCAAAAAGTTCATTCTCATTTTGAATGATTTCTTTTGGTTGACCAAGGGAAATCCCTAATCATACCCCTCTCCTTTGCCATTTTTGGTAGGGCCACAGCTTTCTAGACCTTTCTGTACTCATTGATGAGTTAATGACTGAGGCAAAGTAAGTGAAACACTTCTAAGTAATTACTATTAAAATGAATGACATTTAGTAAACTAGGAGGATATGAGAGTTATATAGGTGTACTGAAGTGTGGAAAGTGGATTCTAAGAGAAGTTATTGAACTTTTAAAATTGCCCTCCAGCAGTATTTTTCTGATGGTTCTGAATTTCTT